GTTGAGAGAGAGGCAGAGGCAGAATGCTTTGTTTTTGCATTCTGCCTCTGCAATGGCAGAATTCTAATATGAAGAAGAAGGACTTTGCGCGACGAACACACACATTCGTCGCGCAAACTGCCGTTGCAAAAAACCAAATCGTCCGTCGCGCAAACCGTTTTTTCGTCGCTCAAACACCTGCCGACATCTAACTTTTGCGCGACGCTGGTACTTTCCGTCGCGCAACCTTTTGTCGCGCAATAATTGTCGCGCAAAAACAAAATTCCGTCGCGCCAAAAACAATTTTCGTCGCGCAAACGTGGAACTTTACGCGACGAAGAGTACTTACGTCGCGCAAAAAAAAATATCCCAACCAGGTCATTTTGGCGCCAAAAATAAAATATCCCTCGTTCTCTTACGCGACGAAACATCTTCCCGTCGCGCTAAATAAGTGAACCCACTGTGTACTGTCATTTTTGCGCGACGAAGAAATATTCCGTCGCGCAATGTTGGCTTTAGCGACGATGTTTCTCGTCGCGCAAATGTTTCGCGCCAAAAAAATCCCCCCCCGCTCTTTTTACTCTGTTTGCGCGACGAAAAATTGTTTTGTCGCGCATATACATTTTGTGCGACGAAAAGTTTTGGTGGCGCAAATTTCCAGCAGATTGCGCGACGAATAGTTTCTTTCGTCGCACAAGTATCGTTTGCGCGACGAATTAGTCTTCGTCGCGCAATCTTTCGTCGCGCAAATTGTGAAACGTAGTAGTGTATATATATATATCTATATATATATATCAATTATTATTTACTTGTCTTAACTGCAAACTTATTGTGTCTATTTTGTGTTGCAGGTATTTGAATCCCTTGGTGTTTGGAGATTACCCGGATGTGATGAAAAAAAATGCAGGCTCTAGAATTCCTTTCTTCACTAGGCTTGAGTCTCAAAGTGTCAAGGGTTCGTTTGACTTCATAGGATTTAATTATTATACCGTCTCATACGCCGAGGACAACTCCATCAGCTTAAACAGTACAAACAGAGACTATATTGCTGACTCGGCAATGAAGACGAGACGTAAGTTTTTGCTATACGTATATTTATATATCAAACTATATTGAGCCCTAAAAATTTCATCTAGTTTTTGCTACACGTATGTGGATTCAATTTCTTTTAGCCCATCATTCAGAAGATCTTTCATTCCAATAACAATTCTTGCATCAAATGTTCACGAACCAGTATAAGATGATTGTAAGAAACAAAAAACATCCAAAATGATTAATTTACCTCTAATGGCTTTTAAATTCATAATCACAATGTGGTCAATCTCTGAAACAAACCAATCTCCAGTACTATTATGTCATGGTAATTAACAGCAATAGATAACATGTCAAAGTTCTATGTTTGAAGGAATTCAAGAGTTATTTGTTTGGGGTTCTTACCCTTGTTTCATTAAAATAAAAAATAAAAAAGGAATTCAAGAGTTCAACGTTGATATTGTGCGGAAACACTCCAAGACCTTGTCGTCGATGGACTATGCAACAACATACACACAAACACCTTGAGAATAAAACACACACATCACGAAGGGAGTCAACAAACATACAAGAACAAAAAAGATTTATCAAGGTCCGGCCCCGTCCTATGTCCTCTTTGGTGATCCCCTCTAGAAATTTCACTAGAAGAATAGGAACAACTTTGGTTACAACAAAAACCCCTTTAGCTCTCTATCCTCTCAAACTGTAGGTCTTAATTTCTCTCACACCCTTGCTCAAACCGTTTGATGCCCTTGTAAACACTCAAGAATTCACCCTTGAATTCAGTCTTGTGTTTCTCTTTTGAAAATTCACTTTTGAATTTTCCTCTCTTATATTAACCTAGCCCTAAAAGTCCTATTTATAACTCATAGGACTTGGGTTACAAGTTAATAGGAAACTAAAACCTTATTAAATTAGGCTAGACAACTCCAAAATAATAGGAAACCATATCAAAACACACCAAAACTCCAAAACAGTGCATGACACTATTCACGTGACAATCGGCCGTCGGGATTGGACGATCGGTCGATAAGGAGTAAAAAATCGACTTTGAGCTCTCGGCCTAAACCAACTAGTCACCTGGCCAACAGTGACCAGCTACCTACACTGTGGCTTCCTTGCTGCTCCATCCTTGCAGAGTCTTGGATTTCCTCTTCCTCCTACATATATGATGAGACAATCTTCGACAATCTCTACCTTGGCAAACCATCAATCTGCCATGAACAATGGTTAACTCCTAGAACCTTTTCAACCTCTTAGAAACCGTTCTAGTTATTCCTAAGAGGTCCACCATGGCAACAAACCTCTTGCCTTAATGCACCTCAGGTGAAGAGGTGCTCCACCTAAGCTAAACTTTGGCAACCCAGACCTCTTATGTAGAAGAGAGATCCCCCATGCCGAACTTCTTTCTCCTTGCCTTCTTGGAACCTTGAATTCTTGATATGCCTTGACATGCAAACTGCATTTCAACCCTTGTTCTATAAATCCCCATGCAACCACCAACTTTGCTCTTGAATTTATGAACTAGCTCATTCCTTTTCATCCAAGCACCCGTTTAACTTTCTCGCTTCATGCTCCCGAAAGCACTTTGAAACGTAGTTGAATCTATCTTGTCCTTCCATCCAAACCCTTGGGGCAGTTTGATGGCTTATTTGGGCCCAGACCTTGCTTGTGGTGAAGGCTGCACCTCAAGTAAAACCCTTTTGTGAGTTTGTTGTTCATGTCTATCTTCTTCAACCTTTGTGTCAAGCTCTATCCGTCTTAGAGTCCCTTCCATGACCACCTTAGTAAGAAGTATCTTTTCAGTTTCCATCAACCCAACAATATTCTCCCCATCATCCCTTGTCTCAACTTCACCCTTGTGGACCTTATCCTCTTATGCAGCCACTTTTACACCTATGAAATCAAGTACTCTTGATCATAAACTGTTAATCATACAACCTTGATTAACCTTCCTTGCCATTTTAGTCTTTAGCTTCATTTCTTTGCACAGGCTCCTTGACAATAAGATCCTTTGCCACTTTTTCTTGGTACAAAACTCCTCCTTGGTAAAATTTACTACTCCACCTGTTATTGTACCCCCCAAAAATTGATAACCGTTATAAGGTTGAATCTTCCCTCTCATAACCACAACCAAATCTTGTGTGACTAAGATCTTTCCTTCTTTGACCTTGTATGAATACCCTTTTCTGTGTAGGGAGCCAAGAGAAATAAGATTCCTTCTTAGTGCCGGTACATGTCTTACCTCACTAAGGCTTCTAACAACACTATCTTGCATCGTGATCTTCATTGTTCCCATGCCCAAAACATGGCAACTCTTTTTGTCTCCCAATAGAATCTTGTTACCTTTCCTTTCATCATATGTGTCAAACTCCATCCTATTTGAACACACATGAAATAAGCTTCTAGAATCTAAAATCCAAACTAAAGTAGAACTCTTACCACAAGAATTTGCCACTACTTCCCCGTTACACTTCTCATCCATAACCGTCAAAAGTTCATCATTTGATGTACTTGAACCTTTAGCATTCTTCATCTTGTTCTGTTTCTCCTTCCATATCAAAAAATTCTGTTTCCAATAGTCTATAGACCCACACTTTAAGCACCCTGCATTGTCCTTGAATTTCAGATTCCTCCCATTGCCTTTCTTACCCTTGTGCTTGCTTGAACAACACCACTCTCCGGTCCATGTTAATAGACCCGCACCTTGAGAGCTATCTCCAGAACTTTCAGCCAACTCGTAATGCACCAAGTCTTGCACCACCTCCTCAAAATTGAGAGTACTCTTGTCGATCATGAGCGCCCCCCCGGAAATGTTCATAGAACAGAGGCAACGATGACAACAACATCAACGCCTCATCCTCTATGCTATAAACAACATCAACCTTTTGCAAGTCCTCAATACACCTATTAAAGGTGTGAAGATGCTCCATGAGATTTCCACCCTCCTCCATGTGAACATTTAAGAGTGCTTCCTTCATGAAGCGTTTGTTTGATAGGGACTTTCTTTCAAAAATCCATTTGAGCTTTTCCTATGTTTGCTTTGCGGTGCCTTCCATCACCTTGATGGACCTCCAAGCCAACTCGCCAAGCATGTCCCTCTCCTTCATTGTCATGGTTTTTGGTCTTGTCTCCTCACCTGCCAAGATAATAGTTGGACCTAGATGGGCTAGGTCATGTTTCATTTTTTTTGCCATAGTGTGAAGTTCTCCTTCCTTGTGAATGTCTTCACCTAGAGCTTCATGCTATCCGTTTGTGGTGTCTTCATTTAGGAGGTTTCTCCCACCGCATTCTTGTCGGCCTCCATCATCAACACTTGCAAACACTCTTAAAACTATAAGAGCATGCCACGAACCGCGGCTCTGATACCACTTGTAGTGCGAAGACACTCAAAGACCTTGTCATTGATGGACTATGCGATGACACACATACAAACCGTTTGAGAATAAAACACACACACACCACAAAGAGAGTAAGCAAACACGCAAGAACACAAAGATTTATAGAGGTTTGGCCTCGTGCCTACGTTCTCTTTGGTGACCCCCTCCAAAAATTTCACTAAAAGAATAGGAAGAACTTTGGTTGCAACAAGAATCCCCTTAGCTTTCTATCACCTCAAACTCTAGGTCTTAATTTCTCTCACACCCTTTCTCAAACCCTTTGATGCCCTTGTAAACACTCAAGACTTCACCTTGAATTCAATCTTGTGTTTCTCTCTTCAAAATTCACTCTTGAATTCTCCTCTCTTAAATTAACCTAGCCCTAACAGTTTTATTTATAACTCGTAGGACTTGGGTTACGAGTTTACTAGGAATAGGAAACTAAAACCCTATTAAATTGTACTAGATAACCCCAAAATAATAGAAAACCACATCAAAACATGCCAAAATGCCAAAAACAGCGCGTGACACTATTCACGTGACAACTAGTTGTCGGGATTGTACGATTCCTCTTCCTCCTGCATCTATGGTGAGCCAAACTTTAACAGTCTAGTTGTGGCTAATCCCATTATGGTATGTAGCATAACTTTGTGGATGTATTAGCCCAGCCTTTGTGAAAATATATTGGTAAATATCTATCGGATGTTAAAAAAAGAAAAAAAACTGAAGTTTTGAATTATTGGCTTCAAGTTTTGATTAATTAAATATTCGCAAAATTATTAATTTTTGTTACATGATTCATCGATTACATCTTTTTTGTACTGCTTTAGTGTGCTCATTGGTCACTATAGGGCAAGTTTTATCTTGGTTAAGACATGATATAATTATTGATTTAACTTACAAAGTTTATTTGTGCAGTTCTGATATGTAATGAATCATCACTCGAGGTAAAACTTTGAACATAACAACTTGTTAACTTTAGAGAGATGGGTTATCAGCCCAGTACTAGCAACACCGATATTATTCACAACTTAACCACTCACAAATCCCAGTAAGTGTGTTGTTTTATCAAAAGACCTCGGTGTTATTAGGAATGGTGTCATTCATTATATATTGTTTTTATTTTTTCAAGTTTTCAATGTGGGGTTAATTTAGTGTTGTTTAACCATTTATGGAGTTAATGCAAGCATCACTAATGCATTTGTTTGATGTAGTATCCAATAGCTCCCTGGGGCCTGCAAAGACTGTTGGAATATGTGAAGCAAAATTATGGGAATCCCCCTGTATATATCCATGAAAATGGTATATATCTCTCTCTATCTAAATGCTGAAATTTAATCAAAGTAGTGCTATAATGCATGTATTTGAATATACACTGTTCGAACAATTTGCAATTTAGTTTAGTGGTACTTTTAGTTTCGCTCTTCTTTTTGTAATAAAGTCATAAAGTTTTAACTTTTTAAAATCAAACAAAATTTAGTGGATAAATTACTCAAATGGTCCTCAAACATATACTTGATTTACATTTTGGTCCCTCAATTAAATTATTCGTTCAAATGGTCCATCAACTCTATATTATTCGCTCTATTGGTCCTACCGTTACATTTTGTCAATATTTCCGTTAAATATTAGGGCAAATTAGTCATTATTTACCCGGGTAAATTACTCAAATGATCCTCAAACTTATACCTGATTTACATGTTGGTCCCTCAACTAAATTATTCGTTCAAATGGTTCATCAACTCTATATTATTCGCTCTAGTGGTCCTACGATCTAATTTTCTGTTAGATTTAACCTAATTTTAGAGTAAATAATGACCAATTTGCCCTTATATTTAATGGACATATTGACAGAATGTAACGGTAGGACCAATGGAGCGAATAATATAGAGTTGATGGACCATTTGAACGAATAATTTAATTGAGGGACCAAAATGTAAATTGAGTATAAGTTTGAAGACTATTTGAGTAATTTACCCATATTTTCCCTAAAATTAGGTTAAATCTAACAGAAAATTAGACAGTAGGACCACTGGAGCGAATAATATAGAGTTGATGGACCATTTGAACAAATAATTTAGTTGAGGAACCAAAATGTAAATCAGGTATAAGTTTGAAGACCATTTGAGTAATTTACCCAAATTTAGTTAAATGATAATGTTATGACCTAATTGAAAATTATAGACTACAAAGACTACAAAGACTTAATTTTGGCTATTATAATGAAGTAGCGGCGTTATAGCTTTTCATGTTTACATTCTTTTCATCTATCTCATTATCTAAATGGAAAAGTATTGGCATCCTATATATTTTAGGTCAACAAACTGCACGCAATTCATCATTGGAGGATAGGTCGAGGGTAAAATATTTGCGTGGACATATCCAAAGTTTGCTTGCAGCTGTAAGGTATACCTATTTTCTTCCAGTTATAATTTTACCCAAGAGTCATATGACTTGTCTTATTCCCTCCATTTGAAGTCACTATCCGAGTCCCAAGAAAGTGTTCATACAAGGGAAATTTAATTGCCACCCTTAGTATGAAAAGACTACTTTGCTTTAACAAGAAATGACAATTGAAGCCAAAGAAATGACTGATTTTGTAACTAACAATTAATTACATGAACAAAATTGAAATTAGTTAGGTCAAGACCCAAATTGTTGTTTAAATAGGCAAAGTGAGTATTGGCAAGATTCGTTTCACTTGTGAAGTCTTTATTTTATTTTTATACGAGCGATAATCTAAACTACAAGGAGATGAAGAATTTCTCACACACATTAGTCAAGGTCTTTTTCACTGGGCTATAACCGTTGACCACTTACAAAGTCTTTAACTGTCTGATATCATCTTTATTTGCTTTTTTCTTAAGTGGTTTTTCTTGTTTTACACCTTAGTTTGACAGCTAACTAGTACTTGTTCTTAATCACTGACGGATGCTATGAAATCTTTACTTTTGGAAGGAATGGATCAAATGCCAGAGGCTATTTTATATGGTCCTTCTTGGACTCCCTTGAGCTATTGAACGGCTATGAATCAAGCTTTGGCCTATACTACATCGATTTGGACGACCCTGATTTAAAAAGACAACCCAAACTCTCTGCTCATTGGTATTCCCATTTTCTAAAGAGCAAGAACCTCACCAGCTTAGATGGATTTCTTGAATCCCTTTCCCATGGTTACCATTCTGAGTAAACTTTATTTTACGTAGTAAAATACTTATGTAAAGAGCTTGTAGTTTAAGTGGTTAAGAGCGCATATCCCTCTCCTCCAATATTGTTTGTATCCAAAATAGTTATGCAACATTAAGATACATCACTTTACTTGAGTCATAAACATCAATTATATTCTAAAATAAAGAAGGGAATTTAGACTGTCACTTGTATTCAAATTATAGAAAAAGTTGAATCACTATTAGAGATTTGGGTTTTACAGAAAATATTTTAATTTACCTATTGCAAAATTTGAATGTCTATCAAATTTTGGGCAAATGATCAAAAAGCTCTTAAAATGCATATACTTCCTAAGCCAGTCCACACTTATCCAAAACATGGCAAGATTAACCTAAAGTTTCAAGAAGAAAGACGCATGAATCCCCATGCAGACACTTCTAAGATTTATTGTAAATAGAGCTTCATACAATAAAACAAGATTACAAATAGTCATGGTATGCATATCTATGTGGCCTTATTAAAACTTTGTCATGAAAATTCGCAATAGGGGAAAATCCGGTCAAGGAAAATGAGTACCACTGCATCCCCTAAACAGAACAAAACTACACACCCTCCCTATCTCTGTCTAGCAATGGAAGAATCCCAAAAGGTGGAATATCCTCCCAAAACATCTGATGTTGAAGCCGCATACCTGCTTGGGCCAAAGAATGCGTAACCTTATTGCCCACTTGGGGTTGGAACAAAACATCCACAATATGCAATTGTGATAAAAGAAATTTGGGAAATAGCTCTAAATGCCACCCTTTTTATAATTTTAACCGAAAATACCACCTCTTCCCAAAAAATTTGCAACTATCACCTATAAATATATATTTATTGACTACTTATTGCATACATATCAATTTTACTGAAATTTTATTTTCTCTCTATCGCGCCTCTCACTTTCTCTGTCGCTTAGCTCTCTCTGTCTCTGTTGCTCAAGTCTCACTCTCTCTTCGGTCAGCTCTCACTCTCTCTTTTCTCTTTCACAGTCGTGGGAAGCTCTCAGCCTCTCTTGCGCAGCTCTCTCTCGTGTAGCTTTCTCTCTTCTCTCTCTCTCTCTCTCTCTCTCTCTCTCTCTCATGCAGTGGTCTTCCTCTTCGGTCATTCACCTGCAAAAGGTACTGTTCATCGTCAATTTGAATTGGTTTAGGGGTTTCTCTGAAGTTGGTTTAGGGTTTATGGGTTTCTATGAAATTTGTTTAAGGTTTAGGGGTATCTCTTAAATTGAATTAGGTGTTTCTCTAAAAATGGTTTAGGGTTTAGGGGTTTGTCTGAAATTGGTTTAGGGGTTTGTCTGAAATTGGTTTAGGGTTGAGGGGTTTCTTGAAATTGTCTGATTCTGATGATTCATTGTTTGAAACATTGAATGAGTTTGTTCTTTATGGATTGATTCTTGCGTTTGATTTGGGATTCTGTTGTTTTGCTGTTATTTTGCTGTTGTTATTGATGTTTTAGTGCTTTTTTTTGCTATCGTATTTCCAATTTAGTGGTTTTGTATTGGCATTTTAATGATGTTGTATTGCTAGTTTATTATGGTTTTATTCCTGTTCCATTATTGTTATAATGGTTTTGGCGATTTATGCAATTGAAATCTGTGTTTCTTGTTGTTTTTTTTTCATCCAAAGAAGGGAAATTGTTAGTGTCATTTATAGTCTCTACATTACCTGTTTTGTGGCATCCAATGCTTAGAAATTCCAGTAGGTCATTCTTCAAGATATTGAAATATATCATAATGACAACAGGAGTAGGAAGTCATTATTTGGATATGTAAAAGTTGTATAAAAGCAAGTATCAAAACATTGAGGCAAGTGGAATTTGACAGGGGCCTCTACATTTGCACTTCATATTATGCTTATAGTATTTATGGCCCAGTTGAAGCAACAACAAGTGGAAACCGGATTCGAACTATTTCGCAAGTTTGCAAAAATAGTGGATCCAGAAGGAAACTGGGACGACATCGCTATAGGCGGGGTCATGAATTTCATGGATCGCGGTCGTCGCAATTGAAGAGTATGCAACTCCAAATGTGTCAACAGTAGGAAACTTATGACACTTTAATGACTTTGGACATTGTAAAATAGAACTATGAGGTGGCCTCTTTTTGTATTATGTAACTATGGGGTGGCCTCTTGTTGTATTATGTAAGTTTCGAAACTGGATTTAATTGAATTATGATGCCTTTGTTTGCATTTGTGCGTATACAGTTTCCTTTATCCGTGCCTAGTTCGAACAATTATAGTGGCAATAACTCCACAATACACATGCGTATAATTGCAATATGATAGCAATAAGAGCACAATAGAGTTACAATACAATCCTATTGTAGTAGGTACTGCATCAGACTTTGTGTTTTGTTATTATTTGGTCCAAAAAAATTACAAACAAATAAAAAATTGGAAAAATGATGAAGTACACATCCCTTAAAAGACATATGGCTGACATTACACACCTTCAATATGGAATATACAATTCATGCCTTGCATCACCATCACATCCCCCCTAAATTACAGAAACATGACACCACAAAACCTCATGATCCTTCCTCTTTCAACCCCTAAATTATCCATCAGATGCCCAATACTAGATGGCTGCTTGGCCAGTGGGATACCCTGCAACTCAATCTTTATGTGCTTCCACTCATTCGAGGCCACCAAAATTGAGAACTTTAAGTAAACCTTGTCTTCCTTGCTGTTTGTATTACCAATCTGATGCACACGATCCAATAGTTCAGTAAATGTGCTGGTCCGTGGAACTATTAAGCCTTTTGAGTCACCCCCTTCGTATTTGCACATCTTCTTTGAGGTTACCCATTTTCCATTGTAGCAAACCAGAATAACAATTGTCTCCATTTCTGACCATGACAAAACAACATTTCATTAACACAATAACCAGGCAATATAATGGCAATATAACAGCAACATAACAGTAATACGACAACAAAATAACATGAACACAACAACAATACAACACTAACATAGCAGTGAACAAGGATTCATCACAATCACACTATACAAATCTACTACATCAAATGGCAAATCTCAAGTTTCAAAATTCACATATCCAGAATCTAAATGCAATTGGTAAAAACCTAGATGGATGAGCATGAAGATTCAAAAAACCTAACCGAAAGAAATTAAAGCTAAAACCAATTTAATAGAAACCCAAGCAATCAAAATAAAACCAATTTCACAGAATCCCACAGATATTAAGAAAATAACCATCAACACTACCTATTCAAGGTTGACGATCCAGTATAGCTTCAAGGTTGCAAGTAGCTATTCAGAAGACATACCTAAAAGATGGGGTCGAGGGAGGGTTTAACGATTCAGAAGAGAAAGCTGCGAGAGAGAGAGAGAGAGCAAGCGAACACAGAGAGAGTGAATAGCGAGCTGAGAGAGAACAATATTTCAGCATATGTGATATGTGTGCAATAAGTGGACAATAAATATATATTTATAGGTGATAGTTGCAAAAATTTTGGGGAGAGATGGTATTTTCAGTTAAAATTATAAAAAGGGTGGCATTTAGAGCTATTCCCCAAGAAATTTAACATCCTCAACTAGATTCCCCAAGTTGCACCACAACTCTCCTTCTCCCTTCAATAAATTCACTAATTCTTATGAGTCTGTATATATGAAAAGACCTATCAATCCCCTTGCTGCCGCAAGCTGCAAGCCAATACGTAGAGCAACCAATTCAGTAGCCGCTGCTGCCACCACCACCACCTCGAGCCCTTCTGCCCTTCCCCCCCCCCCAACCACAAACAAAACCCCATTTTAAGTTTCCTTTAGAATCACGCACTGACTCCCCTAGGCCTCGCCTTCTGCCTCCCTTTCCAGGAGCGCCGTCACAATACATTAGAAAGAATTGTGGTGGTGGTGGATATGCTCGTGTCACTCCACCTGGGGTGGTTTGACACGCATTGAATGTTACTTGAATTGTTCTAAATAATCTGAAGTCCCTTCCAGCTGGTCAACAAAATTACATCCCTGCTTTCCATAGAGCTCATCATTCCTTAATTTCCATTCTCGCCAAACAAGACAGGCAAAATTGATCGATTTCCACAGGGGCCAACGAAAATACCTTGTTATCGTTGCCGCAGAATACTTTGGTAATTTCAGTGTCTAATATTACTATGTTTATCTTTTCTCTCGTAGTGCTGTTGTGGGCTAATCCAAAAGAAAAATATATATAGAGACTGAGAACCAGAAAATATAAAGGAAGAAGAAAAAGGGAACCGAGAGAGACGTCACAAAAATGGAGAGGAACTCGGGTTTTGATACGAGAGTTGTTTTAAAGTGTTTGGCCTAAAATTGTGCGAAGCCCAGCCTATTTTTGGATCCCACAAACTTGAGCACAACTTGGGCCTAATGTTTTAAAGAAAACTGAAGAGCAGCCCAAAATAAAGAAAGCCCAGACTAATTTCTCAAAATTCTGTGAGCTCAGCCCAGAATTTACCAAACTCATGATCAAATGAACAATCTTAGGCTTTGAAGAAAAGGGAAGCAACCCAATCAGCATTAGAAGCCCACGTTTTTTTCAGAAAAATGGCAGAGGTTCAATAAACACAAGAATGAATGGGTAAAATTGCCAATTAAATGGCAATTCATCACCATGCAGGTCAAAACCTTCAAAAAAATCAGATTAAAAACAGCTTCTGAAGAAATCTCGCCACTTAGTCTCAAAAAGCAAGTCAGTAGATCCTTTCCCACTAAAAGAATGTTTTCCTAGAAACGCCTGAAGTGACTGCCTGACTTTGAAAAGTCAAAAATTTCAACTATCACAAGAGGAGTTGATTGGGAATTAAAGAAGGCAAGTCTAAAAGGAAGAATTCTCCAGTCTTTGCAGTCAAGGAAGAAGATCAAATCCCTTTTATATATATATATATATATATACATAGAAAAGGAGGGTCATCCTTCCAAGAGATAAGCAGACTACAATCTCACAAGATAAGTGGGAAGCAGGGGAGTTGTTCAAACAGGAAAAGCAAACTGACCATTGTGGCGGATTGTCTTCTTTTTCTTTGCAAGTAACAAACAAAAACAAAGAGAGTTGGTCTTTCTTTCAGAAAAAGCAAGGAAAAGACCACTATGGGAACTAAATGTTGATGGTTTTTCTATGCCAGAATAGATAAAATTCCTTTTTTCTTGGCATTTAAAATAAA